GCTTTAAGACTTCAAAATACACATTTTTGGCATGTATAAAGTTTCCGCAAAGTAACGTGAACTCACCTTGCTAGATTTTTACTAAATCTAGATTTTATTTCAAATCTTCGGCTTTCTTTGGTGAAGACTTGAGATCTTCAAGCTAGACTCCCAAATCAAAGATGTGAAGCTCCAAAAAACTTCTTTCCTACTTTCGGTCTTACCCCAAAACACCACAAGAAGGCAATGGTTGAGGATGGAAATGACCCAACACCCTAACTCTTAAAGATAAGAAGTGAGGAGTTTACCTTTCAATCAAAACACACTTGAAATCACCAAGAAATGCTCATTCAAGACCCAAAGATCGGACCTCAAGCTTCCTAAGAACTCAAACTAGAGAGAAAATGGTGGAGGAGAAGTGTTGAGGTGAGAATATGAGAAATCCTAGATCAAAGTCGGCTTTAAAACTAATCTGCACAGGAATGCAGATTTATGTGTGGCAAAATCCACGTGAAAAGTCGCTCGCACCCCAAAACAAACCTTAATGCGGGTTTATGCACGGCTAAACTCACGCGTAAACCCGCTCGGATATACGACTCGCACACCAACCCACGCATCATTCAGATTAATAAAATTCAGGGTGTTACAAGTGAGTTTTTTTGTACCCTTTTCAAACAAAATGCATATTTATAGCAATTTACTGATATGCCAATGCTATAGTTTATCATTGTAATTTAAAATTATCAAACATGATTATACGATATGTGATATGTGATGAGTAATGGAATCATTGAGACTTGTTGGTTTTATGGGTTAGGGAGCTAACACAACAGGAGCAGTTGTGCTTGTGAGACTGTAATAGTCCACTCCACACAGAGATGATACTAATGCCCCATGAATGTGTTTCGTGTGGTTTCATTGTCGATATTGATTGCAATTTAGTCAGACTATTTATTTTTATAAAGTGATTGTTGTGGATAGTTACCTTGTGGGATGTATTCTTGCGATCCTACATTGTTATGAGAACATTTTGGTGTAGAAAGTCTCGGGAAAAAAAAAGGTCAGAAGAGGTTTTTCAAACAAACAAACAAACATATTTTTCTATATTAAAGATGATATTTTTATACAATTCTTTCACTAACAAGAAAACTCATTAGACTGCATGGTCTAACCCTCATTTTATTTTAAAATTATGTTTTCAGAACAACTTCGTTTAGAAGGAGTGAAGAAGGGAATATTGTGAAGTTCACTAATTTGGATTTTTCTTAGATGTGAAGATAGTCAAGTCGGAAAGAATACTCCCTATATGCTTCTGTTTGTTTAATAATCATGTTAATGAATTATGTGGTAGTTTACTTTGAACCTTGTGTAATAGCTTGGTTTGGGACCATGTTTGTACCTTTAATGTGGTATATTTTGCATAGATTCCATTATTATGTTTATCAGCTTATTTAGATTGTTACACTTATACAAAAGGTTTACACATATACGTAAGGATTAACTTTCATTAAGAAAAATAAGAATCCTTACACGGAAAATGAAATCCTTATGCAGAAAACCACTTTCTACATAAAGATTCCATTTTCCATGTTTTTATTTTTAATTTATTTGTCGAAATTCAATCCTTACGTATAGGCGTAAACTTTCTGCCTCAGGATTGGCTATTTAGTGTAATTGAGTCCTAAGATTGCTATAAGTGAAAAAAGTTGGATGAATTAATTATTTTTATCAATTTCCCCTAATGTTATCGTAGTGACTAATTGGGACAAATTTTTCAACACATGATTATAAAGGTTGAAACCAATTAATGTTTCAAATATTGGATTGAATGATCTATGGATTGTTATGATCAAATTTTATCAGGTTAATTAGACTTCATCCTTGATTGAAGGTACACCGATTTGATCGTGTGTAAGAATGTATAACCTACTATGAACTAGTTTATACAAATGACCAATATACTATAGCAAACTTGGTCCTTTTATCGAATAATTGATTATTTATAATATTTCTTGAACACTCCAACCTTTGATGAGCATCGAAACTAAAATTATTTGTTTGTTCATTGTTATCAATATAAAGTGTAAATAAAATTGATAAACACGTATAATTATTTTATTTTAATCAGTATTAGATGATTAACACAAATTGTTCAAATCTGTCTAATAAAATATCACAATTTTCATAAGACAGAAAAAATACAAGTTGACTAGAGATTATATATTGCCTAGAGGATGGTTGATCAATTGGGCAAACCATGATCTAGATCTAATCTATTTGTTCATTTAATTATCCCGACAGATCAAGAGAATTATTTGCTTCAATAATTTAACCATTTAATGCAGTACAAACACACACATATATATGTAGTTATGCCGTATAAATACATGGTTTCGTATTCAAAAATGTTTTTGAAAATTTAATCCATAGTTTAGTTGACAAAATTAAAGTGACTTATGAAAATGGATGATAATGATTTTGTTAGATGAATTAATCATAGATTTTTTTTGAACGGCTTCGTCTCAGCGGTAGAGGCACAAGGTTTGATCACGGTTGACATTATCGGGACCCCGGATCGAACCCACTCCACTACACCCCCCTAATTAATTCGGTAGGGCTGCTTTCACCAAATCCCCAAGGAAGAAACCCTCAGGTGAGGCTCGAACTCGAGACCTCACCTTCATCAGGAAAACTCCCTCCCACCCAAGCAACACCCGGATGGCTAATTAATCATAGATAACGATACAGTTTATATGATAAATCAAATCAAATGGAATCATCAAACGACATGGTCCAACTTGTTGACCTACATGCCTAGGTATATTTATTCTAACCTAGACAAATTACCATAATTGACATCATGAATTATCTATAAAATTGTTTAATTATTTCTTCGACATAAAAAATCCGACCAATTGGGTCCAAAACAATGATTCTTCATTTTAATGAGATAATGGAGAAAACGAATCATATATCATTCTAACTCAATGTTGTATTATGTATTTGTATATGTATGAATCTAACTTTTACATCAGTTATACTTGAATCATTTCTTCTTTATATATATATATATATATATATATATATATATATATATATATATATATATAGATAGATATAGGAGCGTTCAAATAAAAATCACTCAATTTGTAAAAACTGTGAAAACCTCATTCAACCAATCATAAATTTTCATTGTGTTCATTTTTTTGTAATTATGAGAGGTTGATTAACCATTTTTATTGTGAAGGGTGTTAATCATGGATATTATCATCTTCATTATTTTAATTTTAGAGAAATACATGAAATAGTTTCATTAATTTTAGAAAAATACATGAAACAGTTTCATTAAGTATTATATGAAACAATTTCATAACCATATATGAAACAACTTCATCAAAAAAAAGTATTATATGAAACAATTTCACAAGATTAAACAATTTCATGAAAAATTTTCATAAGATTAAAAAATGAAATCGACGAATGAAGGTGGTTTGCACGGTTTACACAAATGAGGACTGTTTTTATTTGATCACTCCTCTATACATATATATATATATATATATATATATATATATATATATATATATATATGCACATGTGGAAACCTTCACTTTTTCTTTATAACTTTTCTGAAATGAAATCTACTAGGATTTCAAATATTTTCACAAGTAAAAGAGAAACTAGAAACATGATTTAAAGGGAAAGAACTCTATAATTTTTATTTTTGGAGTGATTTTTTAAATTCTTTTGTACTGAAATTTTAGACATTTATGTTAACTATAAATTTGAAGGAAGGATCGTACCCATTAGCTCTCCATAATATAATTGTGTACGTGTAAATGTATATATATAGAGGCCTAATCAAATGAGAACTGTTTTGTTTGTGATAACCGTGAGATCCAATCTTAACTATAAATCAAATGTTAAATTAGGAAATTAATGATTTTGGTAATTTTAACTTAAAATATTAACTAAGGGCATTTTAGGAATTTTATAAATATCATCTCTCATCTTTCTTTACTCCAGCGAATCTTATTCGGTGAACCTTATTCCGATGAACCGTATGTGAACACAAGATACACATTGTGATACCCACAAACAGTATTCACTGTGATACATATAAGATGCACAATGTGATACCCTTTTGTAAAACAATGAAAATAACGAAAATGCACACTATGATACATTTCATAAAACAAAGATACACTTTGATTCACAAAAGTCTTTAAAATACAATATATATATATATATATATATATATATATATATATTAAATAATTGATATATTAGGTAACTAATTTTAATTAAATATTTCATTCTAAAAAATTACTTAAATATTTTGATTAGTTGTCAAAAATAGAATTACTTATTACCCTTTTAGCTTATTTAAAAAATATTCTTAAATATCTCAACTGAGTGGTTCACATTTGATTTCACAATTACCACAAACTAATCAGTTTTCCTTTGAATGAACTCTATATATATACATATATATATATATACACACACATACACTATATAGAGTATATTTCAAATGCAATCATATCCATTTGTACAACCAATGTAACTCAATCAATTGTGATATTTATGGAATTGATGAGAGTTAATTTATTATGATTTGAATATTTATGAAAGATAACTAAAGTTAATTAATTATGATCAATACTTTATATCAGAAACAATCAAAAATTTTATGCAATCACATATTCATCAAATTAAATGGATGATTGAGATTGAGTTGTATTGATTGTACAGATGTAAAGAATTAATTACTCACCTATATATATATATATATATATATGTGTGTGTGTGTACGTATGCATGAGCACATGTGCTTATATATACATATAGTATAGCAAAGCGTTCAATGCATCTATCTCTATATTCCACCCACAACTCTGAATC